AAGTCGGACCAATTAACAGCCCTAATAATGGTTCATAAACACCGACAGGTTTATTTTACAGACAACCAATTCACAGATCATAGACCAACTTTATTTAACTAACGGTTCATTTCACAAAGTTTATTTCCTCTTCTAACTCTAACCCTAACCTTAACCCTAATTATAAATCAGACCATAACCCTAATTCTAATAACAGTAATGTCTATGAAATGAACTGTATGTAAAATAGGATGTCGATGAAATAAGCTTGTCTATGAATTAGTTGTCTGTAAAATAAACTTGTCAGTGAAGTAATTGTCAGTGCATCAAGATTGTCTGTAAAGTGAGCAGCACCGAAAATATTGAAATTACAGTATAATAAAGGTAGTTATTAATAATGGATTATAAGTAGGGATTGGAACCTCCTAGAATTTCTTTAATATCATTTAACCGTTTAATCGTATTAACCGTTTAACTCGGTTGGCATTAAGATAACCTTGGCCCATAATTAACATAATTCGACCCAAAATTATGGAACAATTTTTATGCGGTTAAACGGTTTCAATCCCTAATTATAAGATAATAAAAAATAGTGAATATCAAATAAATAATAGGGCGGAGTATCAGAAGGTGTTACGAACTGGGGAGAGCTATCGTTCATACGGCACCAGTTTAACTCAGAGTCGTAAACATAAAGTTGAGTTTAGGTAGGTTAAACGAATGTTATGTATTATGTTATTCATTGAGTTTATTATTATGGGAGAGCAAAAAGATATTATTTATTATATATGGGAGCGATTAGATGTGTTGTGCGTGTTTTTATGAGCGAACGATAAAAAATTGGTTTATTATTAACGAGCCAAAAGATCATGATTGATGATTACATTATTAGTTTAAGCATTTTATATTTACAGTTTAATTATGAATCTGATCTTGGGTCTCAGACCCAGATCTTGGGTTTTAAACCTAGATTTTGGGTCTCAAACCCAGATCTATCTACACAGCCACTGATGCTAACAACGATAAAGTAATAATGGATAAATCTAGCAAGAACTTCAGTTAAAGAGCCATTGTATATTTAATTCTCTTATTATCTGTTATATTGGCTCATTAACACTTGAATATATTCGGCAACCAATTTTTAATATAAAAATAATGTTTGGGTAAAGCATTAAATTAGGTATCTAATATTGATTTTGAAATAAATTACATTTCTTTTATCTGTTTATTTGAAACAAAAACCAATGTTACAAGAAATTTCTGTTTTCTTTACATATTAGGAAACAGATCGGATTGACTTATTATATATAAAAATAATATTCGGTTAAAGCATTAAATTAGGTATCTAATATTGATTTTTACATTTCTTTTATCTGTTTATTTTTTGTTATTTGAAACAAAAACCAATGTTACAAGAAATTTGTTTTCTTTACATATTAGGAAAACAGATCGGATTGACTTATTTTAAATTGGAACAATATATAAAAATAATGTTCGGTTAAAGCATTAAATTAGGTATCTCATATTGATTTTACATTTATTTTATCTATTTATTTTTTGTTATTTGAAACAAAAACCAATGTTACAAGAAATTTCTGTTTTCTTTACATATTAGGAAACAGATCGGATTTGACTTACGTATTTTAAATTAGAACAAGAAATTCCGTTTTTTCTGCATATTGGGAAGTAGATCCTTTAAATCCGAATTAATAAATTTAATAATAATTGTTTATATGCGCGTTAGACTATTTATATGCGTTATATAATTCGTTCATCTTATACAATACAAGTTAGAATTAGCAATTAGAACCCTTTGATTTATCATAATTTTCATCTTCATAATACATTTTGTAAGACTACTTGCATTTTAGCTTTTATATTTAATCAATTATAATTACGGAATTTTTAAATAATCCAGTAATTTCAAACTTATTCACAAAATAATTCATATTTTTTCGCACTCGCTCTCTTTTTATTTTTTTTTTTATTTTTTTTTTTTTTCTTAATTAAAAAAAATGAAAGTATCGTCGATCTTCCAACTTTTTTCTCTTATATTTTTAAGCATAGTATTTTCGGTTAAGGCCACAGGTGTGGAATTCTCGTATGATGGGACTACTGGGCCTTTGTTTTGGCATGTTTTGACAAACTCTTCTATCATATGTCAAAAAGGTTTTAAACAATCCCCCATTGACATCAAATCAACCGTTGCTTTAAAAAAAAAAATCGATCCACCATGTGAAGTCTATGTAGAAGATATTCACAAGGTAGAATTATTTCATAATGGAAATACTATTGAAGTAGCTAGAAGTAAAGAAGAAACAGGTGTAGAAGGAGAAGGCAATGCTTTTCTTCCAGCCCAATTTAATATTGGCGATGAGACTTATAAATTACTACAATTTCATTTTCATACACCATCTGAACACCGTATTGATAAAGTGCATCACGATGTTGAAGCACATTTTGTTTTCGAAAGTCAGAATAAAAATATATCTGTTGTTGCCATATTTTTTAATATTGGTTGTGGAAAGGATAATGCTTTTTTGAAACCTATCCTTAATAGAAAGGTAATTTTAATTAATTATATATACTGTATATTATTGAAAGGGGTATTAATATTTTATATATCTTAAAGATTCCAAAACCGAAAGAAAGGGTAAAAATTTATAATATACAATTGACAAAGATTTTTGAGGCTATTGAATTTATTCAAAATGTAAGCATAATATAAATTAAATTTGATAATTAAAAAAAAAAAAAAAATCATGCTAATTTCACTTTTTTTATTTGATTAAGCCATTTTCATATGAAGGAAGTTTAACCACTCCTCCATGTACTGAAGGTGTCAAATGGTGGATTAATCATAATCATAAACACATTCAACACATAAGTCTTTACCAGTATAAAAAATTAAAAGATGCTATTGGGTTTAACTCTAGATTTGTACAACATAGAGAGGAATCGGAATTATAATATTAATATGGGAGAAAAATATAACTAGACATATCATATATTGGCTACCTTCTGCGAAGGTCTGATAGAATTTATTCAAGGTAATTTACACTGCTTATATACATTTGTTTTACATATAACGGACTAACAAGAATTCTTATTTTTCTAGTTATTTTAATTTTTCTCGCTTTTCTTATTTTTCTCGTTATTCTTATTTTTCTTACTTTTCCTTGAATTTCGAGAATTGCAGGAATTCTAGGAATTCCGGGAATTCGTGATGCGTCGATCTT